TTATAATATTGCCTACATATTTATACTAAGTTCCATTTCTGAAGGAATTTGTATTTGGGTTGAGGCTTTGAAAAATTCTAGGATTGGCCTGGGAAGTAAAACAAACCAAGTAAAAATTGCCATAGCTATAGATAGTCAAAAAGGAGTAAACTGAGTTTCTACAAATTAAATAAATTCCAGAGCATGGAAGAATCTATTGGATAAAGAATAAAGATAAAAGTGTTTTAAAGGCTGTAGGTATTCACCACTGATAATTTGTGAAGAGGAACTGTTTCTGAAATTATAAAGAGAAAGTGAAATAAGATAAGCCATCCAGGATGTAAATGTCCAAGGCCCAGTTTGGAAATAAACATAAAACCACAAAAACTCAGGTAACTCTTCTATGGCTCAGTATGACCATACAGTCTGTTCCTTGAGGGGAAATTTGTTGGGGGTAAGGTAGGGAGTTAGTTCAATGAAGAAGCTTAATGAAGAAGACCATATGTATGTTATATAGGTTGGAGGAAAAGATCAGAGTAGGCATGGGCAAAGCCTAGATCCAAGCAAGTTATCTGTCGAGCATTCTGACAGACTCAGCTGGTAGGATTCAGGTTATTACTAACTAACATAGACAACAAATGCATGATCAGCATGGTCATGTCCCTTGTTTCACAGGATAACACTGAAACCAAAGGGGCCAGATGGTAGGTAACGTGAGTGGTGGGCACTCTGGTGCTGAAGAACACTTTTTGTGCCATAGCTAAGAAATTTTTTAGTCTGCAGTTATATCCTAAGGAGCAGGCAATTCTCAGATCTCATTGGAACCAGGGAGGATGGATGAGAAGCTGCCTCACAGCAGCCTCCCACAAAATAGGGAGATAGTTGAGAAATAGCCTTGTAGCAGCATCTCACAAGACTGTGTCTTTCCATATCTGGAGGATCACAGGGCATTCTGCCAAGGCATAGGTCAGCCTGTGGTTGAGCCTTTCCCTATACGGCCAATGTGGGGACACACAAGGTTGCCAGGGGAACAGAACAGTTCCCCTACCTTATCCATGGTAAGGGAGAAATGACTGCATGAATTAGTACAAAAGCATGAAAAGAACTAACATTTTACAAGTAATAGTTTCAAGCATCTAGGAAATTTGTGTTCTGTTGGTCTTAGGAGAAGCAGTCTACTTCTATTAAGTTATTTGCTCCTGGACTGTGAAGAAATCCTGACACAGTAACTTGGAACATTCTGAAAAATGTCTTTTTTGTGGTTATCATATTAGCTTATCCCAGGAAGTTTGTATTCATGAGTAATGTCTATGTAATATATCCATCAGGAGTACTTGGATGGTCTTTTATTGAGGCTTTCGTGTTTCTTCCAGAAGACTCAGTTTCTGATCTATATGTAGCTTGTAACAGGAGCCTTTAGGCATGCATAAAGAAAAAGCAGAAACTACCTGTGGAGGTAAGACTGAATGGTTCAGGTTAATTTATTTTAATAGCCAACAATATCAGAATGGAGAAAAGTAGAATCCTCTATTGACACATATTATTATAATTTATAAAGATTTAGTGAA